TGCTGATCGTTAGCTGCTATTTTAGCCAATTTTATTTGATTTCGATAAGTTGCAGTCCAAGACTTCTTAATTTCAAGTAAACTCTGCGTGCGATATTTCGCATAGAGACCACTAATTAACTGAACATTGTCTCTTAATCTTCTAAGATTGTCATTAAACCAGTTGAATCTATATCTACCCGAATATTTGTTTCGTTTGTCTCGTACAAGCGGAAAGCAAGTCAAATAACATTCATGAAAAAACTTAACGAAATCAGAAAAACATTGGTTACAATCACCTGTATCACTAATAATGTCTTTCCAATCACAATTGTAAAGTTTATCGAACAACATGTACATACCAACTTGGGTGATTGGTCGATGCAGTTTAGTTGCGTAATAGTTCCTAAGATCTTTTTCAAAATGATTCAGTACAAGCAGCTGCCCTAGATGGTCAGCAAGGCCGGTGTTTATTGTAGTACTACTGAAATCAAAAACACTAAAATTTGAAAAAATATTGTCTATGCAATTTGCTCCGCGAGTAGCCGAGAAGATTGTTCGTATAAAACCATTACTTTCTAATAAATCACCGATAATGGTTGCTCTCTTATCGACAGAAAAGTGCACATTAAAGTCACCCGCTAAAACAACATTAAAATTAACAATCTTTTCGAGTACTAACTCTAAAATGCCATAAAATTTCTTAAAATCCCCATTGGGCGATCTATATACACATATAACTACAGTATTAGAATTAACTTGCACACAACAAATTTCCGCATGCGTTTCTTCAGAGAGGTCATTAATGAATTTAAGTGGTTTCACACACGCACTTTCCTTTGTAAAAATTAACACTCCACCATGTTTACGCGAAGGTCTACAGTAGAAAGATCCTACTGACCATTGACCAAATTTAAGAGCGGTAATTTGGTCAGTATCAGTAATCCAATGTTCACTTACACATATACAATCCAATTCCTTGTCGGCAACAAATGCTTCCAATTGGTTCAATTTGTTAATAATTGACTGAATATTTATATGAAATATGGATAATTTTTTATGAGATAAAGATGGTGAGGTCAGGTGTTCATTGTTGTTTGGGATCTCCGGAAGAAAAAACGATTTACTCGTGTACCCTGCGGCCAAACTCCTGGGTCCATGATCTTCTCTAAATCCGACAATTGTACGGTCACTTTGAAGGACGAGTAGTCTTTGGCATATTTTGACTGCAGTTTTTCGCAACACACGTCGGGAAACGTTGGCTGAAGATAACGTTGCAGCATGTCAACAGTCGTTCCTGGATCAAGCTTATACACATGAAGATACGCACGAGGAACTATTGCCTTGATTGTACAGTAGCTGGGATCAACATTGTTGCTGCCAATAATAGCAGCCCGTTTAGATTTTTTGTGCGTAACAGTTTTCCATTCCTTTTGAGTGGTATTGGTAGGTGCCTCATGCAGAACTTTAGCATACGATGCAGGTTCAGCGAGAACTTTTACATCGCACTTAGAAGAGACTGGAGGGTCTCCATTAAGCGCAGAAGTAGATCCTTTGTCAGCTAATTTAGTAGTTGATGCATGGTTATTAGCAGATGCTTTTGGCTTAGGTTTCGCTACCTCCGAACGGGAGGAATTCTTATCATTGACGGATCCATTAGAGGTTTGAAGCTTATTTAGAAGTATAACTTGACTTTGGAGTGCATTAATTGCTATTGTTTGGTTACTTATTACTTTATCCTTTTCCGTAATTAATTCCTTTAGAAATTTAATTTCAATTTCGTACAGTTTAACAGAGATTATTTTATTTTCAACGTACAGGTTATCGTCAGATTGCGCCGCACTGTCACTTTCACAACAGATTATTCGTTTGTCGTCAACTATTTTCACATGTTTAATGTGTTTAGCACATCCTGGATGATAAATCGCATTACACACATCACACTTCACATATGTTTGGGGCACTTTACTGCATCTTTTACAGTTTTTACTACTGAGCAATTCCGGTACGTCCGTACCGCCCGCCATACTACGGTATTTATCTAGACCCCTAAAGAACAAAATTGGATTTCACCAGCCGATCTCATTCACGTTTTCGGTTTCAGCTAGACCAATCCAATGTTATTGTTAGAGATCCGGAGAAATTCAGTATAATGGGGACGTAACCTTACAGATTGACAAAAGCTGCTGAGAACTAATACGAGATGGCGAATCAATTTGTTTGTTGTTCTATGAAGCTGTGAACCTAGATTGTGTACAGCCCGTGTATGAATACTGTTACCTTTTTAAACAAGTCGGCCATTTTATATGTGGCTCACATGTCATTTAAGTAACATCGTTTTTTTATGAGTTTTTGCGCTTAAATTGAGAGGAAATACACAAAAAACAACTAAAAATCATGGTGAATTGTGCAGGTTGTTGATGCCGGGGTAAGAAGGAGGAACCGGGGATTTAATTTCAGACGTAAATATTGAAAATGTGCCTATGCTTTTGCCACGTATTTTCCTATTTTTCTTAATAAATCTTTTTCTTTGAATATTCTTCTTTTAATAGGTATGTTAAAATTCATAGCTGAATGAACGACTATACATAATGTCGTGCAACAGAACCAATCCCATGCATTGAAATTTTGATAAAAAACGTCTTTAGGACGGTATTATTCAATAAACTCCATAGGCGTAGTCATTAGCACTCCGCGTTTTTCAAAGAGAAAATTGGTACGGAAACAGCTTTTACGTGAAAAATCAAACAGGAAGCAATGAAAATTATTATTTTATCACAATCTTTAGCTGGAGTTTTAAAGGCATTCCCGAAAAAAGAGAAGAGGAAGTTTCGTTTATACCCGTGTATGATTAATAAATAGCGCAACGCACGAATTTCATTCGTATGTTCAACGTGTTTTATTATCTATAATCTCGCAATAACCGCGAAACAAGAGCAAAAAAATTTGCTGTGACTAGCACAGATAACAATCGGTTTAAATCGGTTTAAGCATCGCTACGCTCATGTGTGCTAACTCTAAATCCACATATGACATAGTCATAGAATATCTAATCAACATTGGGCTAAATATTTAAAGATCAAAGAATTACCCTCCTAATGGACTCCTAAGTGTCTAACCTTTGTTTAACCGTTCTTCCTATCTATCCAAGGTCGCAACCTGTGATGTCTACATGAAAGGCCATGACAGACCTCTTGGCGAGCAGAGGTGGGTAAAATGCATTTAAATAAGTATTTAAAATGTAAAATGCAAAATGGTTTTTGTACATTTACTTAAAATACAAAATAGAAAATAGGTATTTGAAATAACATTTCGAATACAAAATGGTTTTACAATTTATTTATTTGCAATAAAATTTACATTAGCTTTAATTATTAAAAGTTTTTCAAATGTATCATCATTCATGCATCGACGTTTGGGTCGCATGATTATCCCTGCGTATGAAAACAGCCTTTCAACAGGAGCCGATGACGGAAGTATGTGTTGTATTTTATAAATAACTTTTTGATGTTAGGAAATTGATCCAACATTGACAAATTTGTAAGTGGACTCTGAAGATATTGAAGGGCTTCAAGCTGTAACCCATTATTTAAATCTGAAGAGCCAGGGCTGTCTGTAGAAGAATCGTCGAACAAACAATATTTGTCATCAAGCACGTTCATTTCTTTATTTTTGCCGTTGTCTTCATTCTCAGCTGCAGTTATTACTCTTAATTCATTTAGTAGCAAGTCTTTGAATTGAGTTTTATATTCACTCGGTGCCCAACGTAATTTAAAAAGGGGATGAGTCATTGTAGCACGTTTTGTGCAAGGAAGCGTTTTGATACACTTCTTTACCACATATCACCATTTTTAGTTTCTTTCCACAGATCACATTTGCAGGTAAACCAGAAAAACTTTGAATCGAATCTATACTACGTTATTTTAAATAGAAAATAGTTATACTGATTTATTTAAAATAGAAAATAGAAAATGATTTTATCTACAGTATTTAAAATACAAAATATAAAATGGCATTTTCTATTTTAAATACGTATTTCAAATAAATTCATTCGAAATAGGTACCCACCTCTGTTGGCGAGAAGTGTGTGCCCCTGCCTTTAAGTCCCGTTAATTTATGACATTAGGTTTCCTTTCATTATCGTGGCTAAATGGGCATTGATCCCGAGAAAAGCCAAAAAAAAATAAAAAATCGGTTTAATCGTTTAGCCGGCGCACTAACGTGCGAGTGGTAAAAAACGAGTAACAGCGTTAAAAGTTTTAGGCACTTCTGCCACTGCCACTGTTCGCATTTACGAATGCTACGCCACTGGTCTCATTATGTGGCAGGTGGTAACACTGCTTCCATATTCTTCCCAGAACCAACATATAACGCTAGCCTGAGATCTATTAGCGAAATCCATTGGTGAAAAAATGCGCACCGAGTGCAAATTTTTATAAACCATTGGTCATTATAGTGCAAGTATTCGTATTCCATTGGTAAACTGGTGTCGCATTTGTTGCATTTAGTGCAAAAAGTTCCGCACGAGGTCTTGAGCAGGTGCGGCACTGGAATTGATCAGCTGTTTTTTGTTGTGTTTATTTCGAGGGTTTATTTGAAAATGGCCACAAGCAAAGAGGCAAAGGCGGTTTTATGTTTAGCCATTTTATCTAGCAGCAGCAGTAGTAGTGAGGATGAGGAGTTTGTTGCCTTGTTAAAGGAGAGAGTGAAGTTACCAAAAATTAAAAACTTTGTGGATGAAGTACTTAATAAATTAAGCGACGATCAGGTAGGTACTGTTAAGCCTAAAAGGAATTGACATTAAATTGATTTTTAGTTTCAGAAATACTTTCGATTACAAAGAACAACAGTGCAGTTATTAATTAACAAATTTCAAAACTCGAAATATTTCCCGAAAAATGATGGACATGGTGGTCGGGTACCTATACCTGCAGAAGTGCATACATATGCATTTTTATGGTATAATTTTATAAGTAACTTCAGACTTTATTAATGTGTATTTATATAGGTTCGTTGGCAATAAATGCACAACTAAAGATGTTGGACAAAGGTTCAATATAACTGAATCATCGTTTCACAGAGTGATGGACCGGTTTATGGGATTTCTGTTAGAATTGGGCCCAGACATTATAAAAATGCCAAAGTCTGCTCTAGAATTGGAACAAATAGAAAAAGAATTCAAAAAGGTGCATACATTTCGTATTTGTGCAATTTTTGTATTATAACTATTTTTCTAGGTAGCTGGATTTCCAGGTGTCGTGGGATGTATTGATGGAACGTCAATCACGATTAGAACGCCTGCTCACAAGATAAAATCAACTTATGTTAACAGACATGACATACCATCCCTAACACTACAAGGCATATGTGACTACAAGCGTAGATTTATAGATGTCTTTACAGGCATACCGGGTAAAGTGCATGATTCTCGTGTTTTCAAAATGTCGGAAATATTAGCTCTGTTACCAAACCTGTGTGGTACCAAATATCACATTTTAGGAGATGGAGCATACTTCATAAGACCATGGCTTTTAACTCCATATAAAGATTATGGAAAGCTAACACCTGACCAAGTTAACTATAATAAGAAGTTCTGTGCTACTCGTGTCTTAATTGAAAACACTTTTGGCATTTTAAAAAGCAGATTTCGCCAATTAACCAGATTGGATATGAAATCTGTTGTAACTGCAACAAAGTTTATAATAAGCTGCTGCATCCTCCACAATTTTTGTATCAATGTTGATTACGTAATAATTGATGACATTGAATACGAAGAACGTTTTCAAGAAGGTGCTAGAGGAGAAACTGAATGGCAGCAGCGAAAAAAAGGCGAAGACAAGCGCAATAATATAAAAATGAGTTTAATATAGGTATTAGGTTAGATACCTAAAAGTTATAATAATGTAAGAATATGTAAATATTATATCTTATAACAATACTACTTAGATACATTTTCTTCGAGGTTTTCTTTTCCTAAAATTTGTTTTATTAATTGTAACTTCTCCCTGTGGCGCCGTTCACGTGCTTTTTCTTTCACTTCAAATATTTGTAGTAATGTTTCTTGTATTGTTTTATTTTTTGTCTTCTGTTGAGGAGTGTGGCTTGTACTGGGCATATCGTCAGAGCTACATTCTGCAACTGGTTCTTCAGAAAGTGATGTCTCTCTTTTTCTTTTTATAATTGTGACACCTCGTGATGATCCAGTAACTTCAGGTTGAATGGAATCATCAGAAGCCGAAATTTTATTTAACTCATTTTCAAATGGTACAAGCGCTCTAGAGCTTCCAGAGGTCATGTTATTTTCAACAGCAGCTTTTTTACGCTTTAATACAGTTTTATATCTATTTTCACACTGCAGTCCGGTCTTGCCAGTGTGAAAATATTTATTAATGCGTTCCGCAATGTTTACCCACATCACCTTTTTTGTTTTAAATTTTTTTAAAGGTCCTACTTGTCCCATCCATTGCTCGTACAGATCAAGTAACATTCTTGTTTCGTCATCGCTCCATTCTATTGCATAAAATAGAAAAACAATTTAAAGAAAAATCATATTTCTCTTCTTAATACTCACCACTAATACGTTTCCCCTGAACATCGTTTTCTTCCTCAATGGGTTCACTATTTTCTTCGGTGGGTGGATTCTCACCATATATTTGAATTGTGCTAAAATTTATAATTATACATTAAAAAAATTACACTAACACAATTACAGGCACTTACGAATCATCTTCATTAACCCTGTAAATAGTACTTAATGCTTCCTTTAAGGAAATAAATCCATTACTTATTAGTTGTATAAGATAATTTACTGTAAAATCATCATCATCTGAAATCAATTACCGATTTATTTTACGTTCACATTGATTTAACTTGTAATTTTGAATAATATATCAGAGTCGTTATCTGGTATATTCAACGTTATAATTTCGTCATTAATTTGAAATTTGACTTGCAATACATCCATTTTTAACTTTTTTAATAAACATAACCATGAATTCAACATGCAACGTGCCAACCAACTGTACTCCATTGACAACGCACTATTGAGATCAGCTGATACAACTCGCGCAATTCGAGTGTCGACCTAGCGCAGATTTTTTCCGTCCAATGGATTTCGCTATATATCTCTGACTCTAGCGTGGTACGTGGTGTATTTCTTATTCAGCAAATTCTCTTAACTCAGTTAAGTAAGTAGTTTCTAGTTGCCCTGGGTTCTCGCGCTGTATTTTTTAATAACATAACGTATGTTTGATAAACCGAAACAGGTTATGTTTATTTCATGATTGTTGTTAGGTATGGATGGAGATAATTGCACACTACTCATTAAAATCGAACCAAAACAAGAAGAAGAAATCGAATCATTTCTTCAGGGACACATTTCAGTAAGCAACGATGTTTTGGTGAAAATAAAGGACGAATTTCCCATTAGTACGTCGTGTTCTACATCTCTTAATAATGAAGAAGTACAGCAACACTCTGACTTTCAACGTGACTTTTTAGCCAAGTGCAAAAGTGAGTGTAAAACAGTATTCAAAGATTTTAAATGTGTTCATTGTGATTATGAGACAAATGTTAAAAAGTACTTCAAACGACATCTTATAATACATAAAGTTTCTAAAGATTTTAAATGTGGTGTTTGTGATTATGGCACAAACATTAAATACGTCTACAAACAACATCTTTTAAAACATAAAGTTTGTAAGGATTTTAAATGTCCCGATTGTGATTATGGGACAAATGTTAAAAAGTACTTCAAACTACATCTTTTAAAACATAAAGCTTCAAGCGAGTTTAAATGTGTTGATTGTGATTATGAGACAAATGTTCAAAGGTACTTCAAACAACATCTTTTAAAACATAAAGTTTGTAAGGATTTTAAATGTCCCGATTGTGATTATGGGACAAATGTTAAAAAGTACTTCAAACTACATCTTTTAAAACATAAAGCTTCAAGCGAGTTTAAATGTGCTGATTGTGATTATGAGACAAATGTTCAAAGGTACTTCAAACAACATCTTTTAAAACATAAAGTTTCAAAGGCTTTTAAATGTACTGATTGTGATTATGGGACAAATTATAAATCCGACCTTAAAAGACACTTTGTAAAACATACAGTTTTTAAGGATTTTAATTCCGATTATGTTTATGGGACAAATAATAAACGCAACTTAACACAAAATCAAATACATAAAGTTTCTAAGGATTTTAAATGTGCTAATTGTGATTATGAGACAAATGTTCAAAAGTACTTCAAACAACATCTTTTAACACATAATGTTTTTAAGACTTTTAAATGTACTGAATGTGAATATGGGACAAATTATAAATCCGACCTTAAAAGACACTTTGTAAAACATACAGTTTCTAAGGATTTTAATTCCGATTGTGATTATGGGACAAATGATGAACGCAACTTAAAACAAAATCAAATACATAAAGTTTCAAAAGATTTTAAATGTGCTAATTGCGATTATGAGACAAATTATAAAGGCAACTTGATACAACATATTTTACAACATAAAGTTTCTAAGGATTTTAAATGTGCTACGTGTGATTATGGCACAAATATTAAACGACACTTCCAACAACATATTTTAAAACATAAATTATCTAAAGATTTGAAATGTGCTGATTGTGATTATCAGACAAACTATAAATGTGATTTAAAAAAACACCTTTTAAAACATAAAGTTTCAAAGGATTTTAAATGTGCTAATTGCGATTATGAGACAAATTATAAAGTCAACTTTAAACAACATCTTTTAAAACATAAAGGTACTAATGATTTTAAGTGTGCCGATTGTCATTATGAGACACATGCTATAAAGAACCTCAAAGAACATCTTTTAAAACATAAAATTGTTAAAGATTTTAAATGTGCTGATTGTGGTTACGGGACAAATATTAAAAAGTACTTCAAACGACATCTTCTCAGGCATAGAACCGCTAGGGATTTTAAATGTGGTGAATGTGATTATGAGACAAATGTAAAAAAGTATTTAAGACGACATATTTTAACACATAAAGTTTCTAAGGATTTTAAATGTGCTACTTGTGATTATGGGACTAATAATAAATACCACTTCAAACAACATCTTTTAACACATAAAGTTTCTAAAGATTTTAAATGTGCTACTTGCAAGTATGGAACAAATTATAAACACCTCTTCAAACAACATCTTTTAAAACATAAAGTTTAAGGATTATTTAATGTGCTCATTATGATTATTATGAGTTAAATAATAGATTAGACTTTGTGCGGCACGTTTTGGGATAAATAGGCGATGAAGTTCTTGCAGCACGGTTAGGGTTACTTTGTACGGATAGAAAAGAAACTTCTTCCTCGTTATTTGCTGACAGGTTTCGTATGACAGCAGTTGGGATAGCTGTGGCAGTGGCTTTTGCGGGCTTTGTTCAAGACGACCACGCACATCTACTACCTTCTCGTTAGCAACTGTTGGGCGACCAGGGGATTTTCCACAAGCAACACTTCCTGTATTGTCAATTTACTTAACTACATGAAGAATGTAGCGTCTTATTAATTATTTTTGTTACTGCACTACTACACTAAATTTCTTAACTACTTATTTGTTTTATTATTGAATAAGTAAAACTATATTCTATAACGGAGTGTTAACATTCGATTTCAAAGGTATATTTTTAAATCTTTGTGGTGAGACGGCTGTCACAGTACAATAAACAAATATAACAAGAGGCAATGAAATAATTAAACCAATGCCAGAGGTTCGAGAGTTACTGAAAAGTGCTGTACCTACACAAATATCGGACAAAGCTATAGCGATAATAAAACACAATTGGCGACACTAGCAAAGGCTACACATCAAATAAGTGATCAATACATAATTAACAGTAACAGTATATAAGTAAGTGTAGTTATAATCTGCATTTACGTTAGATATGCTCATAGATTAATTGACGTACGCAAATACCTCACCTGGTGTTAAAAAAACAAAAGCACACAGCAGTGTCTGACAAAAATAGATAGCGATAAAAAAATGAGTGACTTTCGAGTCACCTTTAAAATGTTGGTTTAAATGGAAAACTTCTAAAAACGACTTGACAGTCACTCATTTTTGATCGCCCGATATATCAAAGATAACTTTTTATATTTGACAAACAATCTGCACAAAACAACACAAGATACGAAGAATCGCATACGATTTTCAATAGGGAAATTTTTTGCCACTCGGCTCGAATTCGAAAACCAGGGTATCGATTCCCGAAGTTAGTCGATATGCTCCGTGATGTGCATGTGATGTGACCGGCTGCCATGACGTCATGATCGTATACGATAGGGATAAGTTCAAGTTTAGCTGCATTCCCGAATCGCGAACAAACTGTATGCGCTAACCAATCACAGACAAGAATTGAACTGTCATTTGTCAGTTTTGTATTTTGTTTCGTTTTTGCATTAAGGATACTGTTATTAATAACCAGAAAATCCTCGAACAATTCCATGTTTTATTTCACAGAAAATATGTGAATTTATAGGTTAGGGCACTGAATAACCTCTATAGCAAAACAGCTGCAAGATCCGTCCTGTAGCTGGAACTGCGCATGACTTTCACGCAACGAGTGGTCTAGGTCTAGACCAGTCGTTGCGTTCGATCAACTTTTCGCTCGATGTGGTAGGTTCGAGAATGCAGTGACATTCACGTTCACATCAAGGTCAGTCGATGTGAACAAAGCACATCTTCGGGAATCGACGCCCAGGGCCGGGTCGATTCCCGAAGATGTGCTTTGTTCACATCGACTGACCTTGATGTGAACGTGAATGTCACTGCATTCTCGAACCTACCACATCGAGCGAAAAGTTAATCGAACGCAACGACTGGTCTAGACCACTCGTTGCGTGAAAGTCATGCGCAGTTGCAGCTACAGGACGAATCTTGCAGCTGTTTTGCTATAGAGGTTATTCAGTGCCCTAACCTATAAATTCACATATTTTCTGTGAAATAAAACATGGAATTGTTCGAAGATTTTCTGGTTATTAATAGCAGTATCCTTAATGTAAAAACAAAACAAAATACAAAACTGACAAATGACAGTTCAATTCATATCTGTGATTGGTTAGCGCATAAAGTTTGTCCACGATTCGGGAATGCAGCTAAACTTGAACTTATCCCTATCGTATACGATCATGACGTCATGGCAGCCGGTCACATCACATGCACATCACGGAGCATATCGACTAACTTCGGGAATCGATATCCAGATTTTGGTCCGGCTCATGTTCATTAGCACAGATCCTTGAACTCGAAGAAATCGATTGGTGAAGGTTTTGACTTCCATGTCTCTTTTCGTTCTCAAGTTAGACGAATACGTATAAGGACATCATATAAGGGAAATTTAAAAAAAATTCTCCTAAAAAAAGAATTTAACGTATTTAGTTACAGTTATCCTTAAAATTAGATTAGTCACAACACTGTTAATTTTAATACCATATTTGAAGTTAGCGTTTAACGTACGTTATTGCGCTCGTCTGATGCTAGAAAGAGATTGGAGTAGTACGTTAAACACCAATTTCAAATTCCTCGTGGATCCTTCGCAAAAAAATACCTTGCCGTTTCACTATGATATGTTCTAGCTGGGACGCACTGTATATTTGAGATGTTCTAAGCACCACCCTTGACCACACATCTATGTGAAGTTAGCTTCACAATTCGCGATTCCGTAATTCAGTATGCGTATAACCAAAGGACATAGTAAACAAACAATGGTGACGTGGTGTTAACTCATTCAACAAATGTTACTCAGAAAGTAAGTAATGTCTAGTTGCCCTGGGATCTCGCTGCATATTGTTTAACACCAAATCCAAAATAGAATTTTGATAAACCAAAACAGATTGTCAACACATTTATTTATAGAATTATTTTCAGGTATGGCTGAGGGTAATGACACAGTACTCATTAAAATAGAACCAAAACAAGAAGAAGAAATCCACTCCTATCTTCAGGAGCACATATCTGTACCTAACGAAGTTTTGGTAACAGTTAAAGGACGAAATTACAATTAGTACACTGTGTTCTAAATCTTCTTATAATGAAGAAGTACAGCGACACTCTGACTTATACCGTGACCTTTTAACTGAATGTAAAGCAGTGTCTAAGGGTTTTAAATGTGCTAATTGTGATTTTGAAACAAAGTATAAAAGCAGCTTCAAACGACATCATTTAATACATACAGTCTCCAAGGATTTTAGATGTGCTACTTGTGATTATGGGACAAATGTTGAAAAACACTTCAACCAACATCTTTTAAAACATAAAGCTTCAAACGTTTTAAAATGTGCTGATTGTAATTATCAGACACATGTTAAAAAGTACTTCGAACAACATCTTTTAACACATAAAGTGTCTAAGGATTTTACATGTGCTTATTGTGATTATGGAACAAACCTTAAACAAAACGTCATACAACATCTTTTAACACATAAAGTCTCTAAGGATTTTAAATGTGCTGATTGTCATTATGAGACAAATGTTAAAAGGAACTTAAACAAACATATTTTAAACCATAAACCTTCCAAGGATTTTAAATGTGTTACTTGTGATTATGGGACAAATAATAAACGCCTCTTGAAACAACATCTTTTAACACATAAAGTTTCTATGGATTTTAAATGTGCCACTTGTGATTATGGGACTAATTATAAACACCTCTTCAAACAGCATCTTTTAAAACATACAGGTTCTAACGTGTTTCAATGTGCTACTTGTACTTATGGGACAAATGATAAACAAAACTTCAAACGACATCTTTTAACTCATAATATGTCTAAGGATTTTACATGCGCTGATTGTGATTATGAGACAAATGTTAAAAGAAACTTAAACCAACATCTTTTAAACCATGAAGTTTCTAACGGTGTTAAATGTGCTACTTGTGATTATGGGACAAATCCTATCTTCTTTATTCAAAGGACAAATCACAAACTCAAACGGCATCTTTTAAAATATAAAGTTTCTAAGGATTTTTAATGTTCTAATTATGATTATGAGATAAATAACAGATTGGACTTTGTGCTACACTTTTTGGGATACATTAGGCATTATCTTCAAATCACAGGTGCTCCTGAACTTATCTCATCGAATGGAACAAATTCAACACCTACTATGCGATAAAAAATGAATTGCTTTCGAGTCACCTTTGGAGTTTTGTTTACATGGGAAATTGTACGTAACTTGAACTTCCAAAGGTAACTCGACAGCAACTCATTTTTGATCGCTGCTTAGACTATGAAAGAAGGGACTATCAAGAGCAATACTGTGCGTTGAAGGTGTGATAGCGATATTCTTGGCTTTACTTCATTGAGTGAAGAAATGTTACTTTTATAGAAGATATAAGTTGGAAACAATGCTTTTGTATGAATTTATCATGTATACAGTGTGTCCCCGGACGGACTGAACAAGAGAGAAAAAATTTTTAATTTTAACTACGCAAAAATGTCGTTCTTTTTCTTAAGCTCTAAGGTGTCTAACTTGATTTGCTTATCAGGTTGCCATGGAAGATGACAATGATAGTCTGATTTAATCAAAAACATGCAACTTAGAAAAATTTCCGCTGTAGATTTTGCGTTTTTGTAATTTTGTCAGCTGCTAAAAGGAATATCTAGATTTTTATTTCAGAATAGATGGTTTTGAGGCAAGCAAACATTTTGATAAAGAATGACATTTTTGGGTAAAGTTAAAATTAAAAATTTGTTCCCGCTTGTTCAGTTCATCCGGGGACACACTGTATATAAAAGAACATGTATTTGGAATACAGAAAAGTGACAGCATGGTTTTTATACATTGTTTCTATACCCTTAAGAGAAGGAAAGGGTTTTTTCTGTCATAGTCTAAAGCCCGTTTGTAACGATCACTTATTTAGTCAAATTTTTAGTCCTTTTTTTCTTCAATAAAGATGCCATCCTAAAAATGTCAGTGAGCTATTATTATAGTGAGCTTTCAAAAATGAATATAAATTTAATTTTAATTTTACAAATTCCCTATAATCTGTCAAAAGTGACTAAAAAATTGAGGAAAATAGGAAGGTTCTAAACTTTACAAAAATAGGACAACTTTCAGTTCCTAAAATAATAATAATTTTTTCGTATCTTACATCGGAAGTAAGATATGATAACATCCAAAAAGTCAAACGCTTTGACCCTGTATTTCAGAAACGAACGTAGGAAGATTGTTTCTGTTTGTGAAATGATGCGTTTCACAAAAAAAGTGGCACACGAAAAGATCAAATCTCTATCTTTAAAAACAGCTGCCGTGTCAACGAAAATAGAACCCACGGTACAATTAAATCTTGTAATTTGCAAACGCGCATGCGAGTCGCGTGTTTGACATGCCGGTATTGTTGCAAATCTACATGAAGTTAGTTTTTACAATTCCCTTGGACACAGCTTTTTTTTGCATGATAACCAAACAAGTAATAGTGGCGTGGTGTTAACTCTTATTCAACAAACGTTGTTTTACTCAGAAATGTATATTGTTTAGTACCAAGACTGATTTTTTAACACATTTATTTATAACATTATTGTTGTAACTTATAAGGTAGGTATGGATGGAGATAATGACACACTGGTGATTAAAATCGAACCAAAACAAGAAGTAGAAATCCATTCCGATGTTCAGGGACACATTTTAGTTCGCAACAAAGTTTTGGTGAAAATAAAGGACGAAATTACGATTAGTACACAGTGTTCTAAATCTCCGTATAATGACGAAGTACACCAACTCTCCGACTTTCAAGGTGACCTTTTAACTCATTGTAAAACAGATTTTAAATGCGCTGACTGTAATTATGAGACAAATGATAAAGGCAGCTTCCAACGACATCTTTTAAGACATAATATTGCTAATGATTTTAAATGTGCTACTTGTGATTATGGGACAAATAATAAACACCACTTCAAACGACATCTGTTAACACATATAGTTTCCAAGGTTTTTAAATGTGCTACTTGCGATTATGGGACAAATTATAAATCTGATCTTTAAAATACACCTTTTGAAACAAAAGCTACTAAGGAGTTAATGTACTTGTTGTTATATACTGATTAATTTGCACCTACCTCTTGTCGCGTACATCCACGTGACTTCTGTCGTCGTGACTGTCTTTCCGGTTCCGGTGTACGAGACCCGTGCAACGTTGTCACGTTTACCTTATATTACATCCCCCCTTTTTATGTCTTAAAGTTCAAAGTCTTTAGAATAGTTTATCAGGCAAGTTCGGTTTCACTTAAACAACTGATTTAGAATTGTCAACTTAATACTATAGTCTTGTCTTTATAACTACGGGTTTATGGCACTAATGACTACAAGCAAGGTTTCCACACTCACAACGAGACCTCGGTGGCCTTACCACGCGACCCGATCTGGTTGTGTAAAACTGTTGCTCTGCTGGAATAACACCTCGAGTTACACTATTGTCTTCGTTTGACTGGACATAATCATTTCCTACCAGTGGACGCTGTTCAGTCTCTTCCGTCAGACTTCTTTTGAGGATCTATTCCTACACCCTTGTTTGATATTATAAAACCAAGAAAGGTAAGTGACTTAACTCCGAAAATACATTTGTCCTTGTTGAGTTTTATACCTTTCTCCGAACACCGTTGCAATACGAGTTGAAGTCTACGATCATGTTCTTCTCGCGTACTGCCGAATACAAGCGTATCGTCGGCTACGTTGATTATACCGTCGAGACCTTCTAGGGCTTCCCACATCTCTCTTTGAAACCTCTCTGGGGCGGACGTGATACCCATGGGTAACTTTTTGAACGCCCAACGACCGAAGGGGCTTATAAAAGTTGTTAGGAGTTGAGATTGTGGATCTAACGAAACATGATAAAATCCTGCAGTGGCGTCTATTTTTGAGAAAAAATTTGCATTGGGACCTATTTGTGCTAATGCTTCACTTATATCAGGTAAAACGAGCTTTTCCGTAAGAACACATTTATTTAGCATGGAATAGTCCACACATATACGAACTTTACCGTCCTTTTTCGGAACGGCCACCATAGGCGCACACCACCGGGTGGGTTGAGAGACCTTAAAGATGATATTCTGTTTTTCTAACGCTTCCAAATTCTCTTTGACCGCGTCGCGTAAATGGATCGCTACTCTTCGCGGGGTAGCGATTGAAAATGGTTTAGAATCCTGTTTCAACTCAATTGTATACTGTTTTCCAAGGTCACCTATTCCTTGGAACAGTTGAGGGAAATTATCTTGAATGGTTATCGAGCTTGCCCATGATAGCATCCCCAATGCTTCTATGGCATCGCGACTTAACAAGTTAGCGTGTAGGTTCTCAACAACATAAACCTCAGTGCTGTGGATTCTGTCTTTATAGAACATATTTACTTCAAATGTACCTTTGACATTAATTTTGTCACCCGAAGCGGACAACAAGGGTCTCTGGGGAGAGTCTAATTGTGTATGTTTAAATTTGGGCAATAACTCCGCTTTTAATACTGTAACATCTGCTCCCGTATCAATTTTAAAATTTATAGGCACTCCACTGACATTAACTATAGCTTGCCAGGGTTCACAGCATTGAGTTTGTATCGATCCCAAAAAGAATAAATCGCCTTCACTTACCCCAGAGTTGTTCTTTATCTCTACTGCGGCAACCTTTTTAGCTTCGTATCTACTTTTTGAGTTGGTTTGATGCTGCATATTGCGGGACGGACATTTTGCTGCCCAATGGCCATTCCTGTTACATGATCTGCAGAAGTCGTTTCTCGCAGGGCAATCTGTAAATGCGTGCCGGGGGCTTAATCCACATTTTCGGCACTCCTTCTCCTCTTGTGGTTGTGGGTTGTCTCTGTTTTTCTGAAACGTTTTCCCACTACCTAAGTTTCTTGTAGCATTACTGTTGTATTTCTGCTGAGTATTTTTCGGTTTAGTACCCCTGTGGACGTAGTTTACCTCTGCATCAATTTGCTCGGATGTACTAGTCTCGGGGTTTGGGCCACTTGCTCGTATGACGGTCTGTTGTTTTTTCAATGATTCGGCTAACCTTATTTTCCTGATGATTTCTTCCAAAGAATCGTCCGGCTTGGCTTGTAATTGAACTGACAGTCGGTTATCAGCTAGTCCAGCAATTATGCGAAGCTTTATCATCTCAGCTTCCATTGTACCCCATTCACAGGTTTGTGCTAAATTGGTCAAATCTGTGATGAAAATATCACATGATTCTTTGTTATTCTGCGCGCGTTGTAAAAACCGTACACGTTCGTACACTAAGTTTTTCTTTAACACGAAATAATTGTCGAATTTGCTAAAGACAATTTCAAAATCTTTGAGTTCCTCGTTGCTCAAATGAAAAGATTTCAAAATGTTCTCAGCTTTACCACCCACATATCCCACAAGGTAGTCCACTTGCTGTTCACTACTATAGTTCGCCAATGCAATACGTTTGAATCGTAAAATTCGCGTTTTCCATTCGCTCCAATCTTCAGCTTGAAACGTAAATTCAGATGGCGGCGGTACCGGCACCGATAATGACGAATGTTGCGATATATTGGCGGTCGCGTCACTCGCGTTATTGTTCCGTAATTGCAATTGCAATAATTGCGTGATTAGTCTTTGCTGCTCAAGCAATTGAGTTTTGTAATCCAATTCAGGGCCCTCATCCATTATAAAGTTAGGGGGGTTTTCCTTTTTTTTTTGAACGGTTGACACTTACTCAATTTGACAACTACAACGGTCGGTATATATCGCCGAACCACGAGATTATGCACTTCACAGCACTAAAATCTAAATCACTTCTTCTTCTCTACACGAATCGCTAACAGGGCGGCAATTTCAGTTTAATTTTATCGCTGTCACCATGTTATATACTGATTAATTTGCACCTACCTCTTGTCGCGTACATCCACGTGACTTCTGTCGTCGTGACTGTCTTTCCGGTTCCGGTGTACGAGACCCGTGCAACGTTGTCACGTTTACCTTATATTACAGTACTGATTGCGATTATCAGACAAACTATAAATCTGCACTTAAAAAACACTTTTTAAAACATAAAGTTTCTTAGAATTTTTAATGTGCTAATTATGATTATGAGATAAATAATAGATCGGTCTTTGTGCTACACCTTATGGGATACACTAGGGGTTATCTTTAAATCAAAGGTGCTCCTGAGCTTTTTTCATCGTAAGTAACAAGTCAATAACTACACTATGGTAGAAAAAAGGTTGAGGTTTTTCACACAAGACTCATCCCGCTCTTGAATATTTATGCTATTCGATAGATATAGATACATTAAAACTTGTTTCTTTACAAATATACATTTTACAAAATGCATTATAGGTGTACTTATATCTAGATTGTTCACAAATGTTATACACAACGCAGAAAGCAAAGTGTCGCTGAATTTTAGCATGAACTTGTATGAACAAAACAAAATGCAAAATCAGCAAAGCTAAATCAAGATCGAAGAATCAAATAACCACCCCTTAAATGACTTTAATGTTAATGTGTTGCTATGACTTGAAAACTGTCTTGTTCCCTTTTGCCATGTTAAATTACATTTCTTTGTACCATTAATTACCAGTTTGCTATTCAATTACAGCAATACTTGTTTATTGGATATAATTATGACGTAGCGGTAGCGGCATTCTCCAACCAAAAACATTTGGGGCGACTAGGAAGAGAGCCCTGAGTTGGAGACGCCCATGGTAAGATCCAATCATAGAACAACAAACTTAGAATGGAAACTCTAATGTAATGTATAAAGTCACTAAATATAGAAAGTACCGCAATCCATTGGGCTCGTGTGTTAGAGAGAGAACGCATGATTTTTGCCCAAAAATGGCGGAAGTTACCAGATTCTAGTAACTTTAATGTTAGGGATTGTTCCACCTGTTTGGAGATATCTGTATATATTTTTATNCCTTTTCCTTAGACCATATAGTACATGGACTGCTAATTGTAACTAAAATATGGTCAAGGACATCGCCTGGGTATGTGAGTTTCAGGGTAAACGAGTCTGTCCGAAGTTGTCCGATTAGACACGATTTGAGACTGTCAACCTATAAATTAACAAACGTCAATTAATTAACCGCCTAGATATCCCAAAAAAAGCAAACTTATTCTTATTTGTGGACGTATAGTAAATAACGAAGAGTATTTAAAGCTTCCCGTACTACGCGGTTGCTATAAAGCTGCTCTTTAAGCGATCCTAGTGGTGTTTACACGACTTTAGTTTACCCTGAGATTCACATACCCACGACTACAGTGCCCTCTATCCGTGACCACCCATTTTGTATTGAAAGCATAGGGCGAATAGCAGTCCATGTACTATATGGTCTAAGGTTGCGACACACAATCTCCGTTTTAAACACTCAAATGCGTGCGAAAAAGGGCCTTTAAAACACACGTGCTTTAAAGTTGCTAAGTAACGATACTTCAAGTATGACTTCATAGAACAACAAACTTAGAATGGAAACTCTAATGTAATGTAAAAATGACGCGCCACCTCGTGTATGTTCCCAGCAGCTTTTTCGTGAATGGCGCCAAATTTAAATATTAAAATGTAAGCTACGTCCGCATTATACTGCATTTCTCCGGATCTGTAACAATAACATTGGATTTGACTAGCTGAAACCTAAAAGGTAAATGAATCCAGCCAGTGAAGTCCAATTTTGTTTGTTAGGCATCCAGATAAATTCAGTTTAATGCCGATGCACCTCAGCAGTCAGGGGCTTCAAAGAGTACAGACCACTTGTTTTATAAGTAACAACTCCAATTAATCCAATCAAGGAGTAATATTTAATTTAATATGGATATACAAGATACAAGATCAACTTCATGGAACTCTACTTTATGATGCTCTCAAGATCGTTCTAAAAACAAAATATGTAGCAATTTATTACAATTCAATTAGTATTACCTGCTAAAGATAATGTGCGAACTGCCACACGCTTTAAACCTCTTCGTGTTCTAGGTTCTAAAGCGCAACCAGAAAAATGACGTTCACGAACCAAAAACTTTTGTGTAAATTTCTTCCACATTATATTCTAAACCAATTCTATAAAAACTTCGGGCTCCATTTTTGGGAAACGTCTTCACAATTTGTCACACAACATTTACGTTTTCGATTTGTATATGCATAATTCATTGTAATAATGAATAGTAATTATACTTAAAGCACAATAAGCCGTCAATCAAAATTCAAAATTCAACTGTCATAATGGCGACACGTACTAAAGTCCCTAGATTTAGTACCTTTTACACGCACGCTAACTCTGCGCCATCTATTGAATGTTCTCCAAACTAATTATATTTGTACTCAGTTGTTCCCGTTTACGTTTCCCTTCTAAGTTTTTTGTTCTGGGGATCCAATGAATAAAGAGATCACTTTGTAGTAACTTTTGTTTTCCCCTAAAAAACCATATTTCAATTGTTCAGGTTATGTTTTCATATTTGTGTGAATTGTAAATTCCATTTTTACTAGTTCGTTATTTCAGAGGTTACTTCCTCACTACAATTTGAGTAATAATCAAGTTATCGCTATCGCCTCGCGTCAGAAATGTCAGAAAACAACGAAATTGCCGGTGCCATAACATACCCGAAAGGTAAAAATGTGGAGAACGGATCTGATGCAGCTCCTATTAGTCAACCTAGGCAACCTACTGATCTACAAGGACTATTACGATTCGCAATGGAGGCGACAAAGGCAGAGGATGCGCCGAACGAATCGTCAGTCGGACCTATAGACGAGGAAGTAAGTCACCGACGTTTCCTTAAATGTTTTCATCTCGACTGTTTATAGCGGAAGAAGTTTCTCGAAAACGCCCTCGCTTCCATGTCCGTTGACGTGATCGAAATTTTACAGACCAACATTAAGATCTTGCAAAACTGCGACGTGCTCACCGAAAGCGGCGATATCGCTCAACATGTACTCGCGTTAGAAACAATTTTGGATTATATCGACAATACCGATGTCGCAAACGGTAGGTGAAGCTTCGAGAGGGAAAATCCGTGACAACACACTTTCCCCATTTAGATTTCCACAAAATAGGCGGATTCTCCATCTTCAATCCGTGCCTGAAGTGCGTCAAATCGGAGATAAGAGCGGGCGCCTGCGACGTTATAGCCGAGCTTTGTCAAAATAATCCGTACTGTCAGCGGATGGTGCTCGACGCAGCCCTAATTCCGACACTTGTAAAGATTTTAGCGACGGACTCCAGCAACACCGTGTGCGTCAAGGCGCTTTACGCGATTAGCTGTAGGTAAATCTGTGTCTTGAACGTTGGTCTATTGAATGTGTCTTAGGCGTTATACGACAGTATACGGAAGGGTTTCACCAGTTCGTTCAGTACGAGGGACTTTCCGTTTTACTGAAAACGTTGCAGAAGAATGACGACAAACTTACAACAAAAACCACATTCCTGTTATCGTCGCTGTGCGGCACTCAGCCAGATCTGATGAGTAAGTCTTTGTTAAGTGCGATTATAAAACTAAAATGAAGACAACATATAGGCAGGTTGGTATTTTTGGAGTACGTTCCTCTGCTGATCTCGTTGCTGAACAATGTGAGAAAACCAAGTCACGAGCACATATTGTCTTTGCTTTTGCTGCTAGCCACCGAGAATCATTCCGCCATGATGTGCTGTAAGGATCCAAAGTACAAATTGCAGGGAATATTAGAGAATCATATAAAGATTGTCGCGGGCAAGGAGGAGTATCAAGTAAGTATAGTGAAAGATCAAAGAAAATTCTAACTATTTTATTTTAGGAGGAGGAATCGTACTGCCGACAATTATTAAGGCTTTTATTCCCTGCAGCTAATGGCTTATAATGTTAAATTCTTTGTAAATAAATGTGTATTTAGATTTTAGCTTTTTCAATCATTCTTATGCAAATACAAGGTGTCTCATCAAAGATGCAGTTATGTCACAGAATATTATAGAATAGAAGGAGCATGGCATACTCCATATTCTGTGGTTATATGAATGCGTGAGGTTGGCCCCGCCCACATGAAATAATTTGACAAAAATGTGTCCAGCTTTAGTGCTCGAAGCTTATCGTTAGTGCTGCTACATAACATGAGAAAAATTTTTAAAAAAACAGAGGCAGGGCCAACTTCACACTCAATTTTTACTTATCGAAATATGAACACAGACAGTGTTTGTGCTTTGTGCTGTTAAATGCTAGATAAACAATGTCTCAAATTCTGTCGCTGCTCCTAGAAAAGTCAAGTGTGACGTTATCCCGCCCATACATTTTTAACTAAGTGAGACCACATGTCATTGTTAGTGCTGTTTTGTGCTCGAAAATTGCGTTTCCAGCATATCTTTTCAAGAAAACCGAAAAAAACTGAAATGATGTGTGAAGTTGGCCCCATTCATGATTCAAATTTTTGTGACAAGAACAAATACATATATTACGCACCCAACAAGGGAAACCTTCTACGGGACAAAACCCGGCATAGCCCACACAAATACATGAAATAAATCAACTACAGCAACAAAAATACACAAATAAAACATTTCCAAATTGTACGATAAAATGAGATAATCAAATCAAATGCAGTTAAACAAATTCATACAAACAAAACATGCATAAGACATCATGAATGCAGTGGAAAACATCATAAATCAATTTAGTACAAAAACACATTAAAATACATGTACCATCAATTGAAATAAAACAACTCATAAAATGATAATTTTGAACAATTTTTGGAGTTGATGCACTAAAATATGAAAGAAACGTGACTGTGTCTAGTGTTAGTTTATAATTTGTGGTAAAACAGAAGCAGTATTTGAAGATTATAAATAAGTAAACGATTTACTGAAAGCATGATGATACACCAGTGCAATTAAATAAATGATCATCAGCAGTTAGTACCAATTTCATAATTTTTTTGATTTGCGGGAAATTCAAATTGTCCTCACTTCTAATGAATCATGTACAAAAAATATGTAAATAATAACAAATTGTGGCAAGAAATTCAATTATTAATAGTTAGTACAAGAAAGAATGAAATGGTTACTACCTGTAAATACACCTTCAAAACACAACAAAATAAATAATCAAAAAGAAGAAAAAACGGGAAAGTGTGATTGCGTGATGCCCTCCATCGCCCCCGTCGCCATCTTTTTTTCCCCTATAGTTTCGTTATAAAAATTCCCTAGTCTTCGGCAAATCGGCATCTGCGCAGAACGGTCGAAATCATTGAAATAAAAGACTACGGAACGAGCTTATGTACGAGTATAGCGTGATTAGAGCTAGAATCCTATTAGGCTTCTTAATATTGTGATGTGCCCAGGTCGACAGTTCCCGCGCTAATGAAAGCGGGAAAAACACGAACTCGGAACACCACAGCGTAGTAATACAAACCTCGCACTCAACAAATGGCCTGAACCCCTACGTTGTGGAAGACCAGGTTGCACTCACTCGTACCTATGTATCATCGGAAAGTATGGAACGCAAATAACACACTTAATGAATTGGAAACGCAAATAAAGTTTGTTGAGTACGTAATTGATCAAAAGTGTAAAATGAATCAAAAGGCTGCTGCTAATTAATAATTGGATATCTTGTGACATTCTTCTTCATTACACCTTTCCATAATTTCGAAACAGAAAGCTACCGCTAATCGTCTTTGACAATCGCCTTTACGTATGTCCTTGATGGCATTGAAATTTGTAGGACAGAAATTTATTCTTTTGTAAAATTCTGAAAACACGTCTATGATGTAGAGAGTAGAGACCTACGTTGGATGCAATCTATACAGCAAGTTTAAATTTGGATTTTCAGCACAGAGCAACCATCGGCAAACTCGCACGCATACATAATCATAAACAAAATATACAGAATTTATTGTAGGCGTTGACAGTTGACATATTTGCACTGGCATAATAAAGACTGACAGAAAACCAATATTCGATCACTACATGTCAGGGATCGATTAAACGAATTGATTAGCAATATCGACAAGATGGCTCTTTTCAAAGACATAAAAAAACAGTACATAAAACATAATCTCTGCGTATGTCAGTTCTGAACTTTAGCCAGCCTCTGCTACGTCAAATCGAGATTAAATATTCGGTATCAAATATCAATATCAAATATAGCACAGTATACACATTCGAAACAAGTCACCCTGCCAAATATTAATAATCATAATCACCCGGTTCAAATAAATAGTAGGAGCATAACGTTATGAACTATCACATTACAACAAAACAAAGGAACATGTCGTGGCAAACATTAATGTAAAGTAGTTAATTCTCAATGCCAAGTGCAATATGTAACAATCAACCACCTAACGTACGTCACTCGCTCCCAGATGAAGCACCCTGTAAATAAACAGTAACATATTCATGCCAACAAAAGCGAAATGTGCTGCAATAAATTCAATTATAAATTAAAATGTAGTTCTGCATACATACTTGTATTGAATATCGCCCCTAAGGGAACATACTGTATCTAAATATAAATAAAAACACGTAAATCGGTCAGTAATTCATGTTGCCAACGCTTGGAACAAAGGAGTACTGTAATTTGAAAAACAACATATATATGTAGAATCTCTCTACATTTACTTAATTCAAAGTGCGCTCAGAATAGCAAATGAGCAATGTGTATTTAGAATCCGTTATAAACGACAATGGTCGTCGCTATACTGGAATGCGGGCAATTTGCCAAATAATAACACGATCACACAATTACTAAAGGGATGCAATACATGTAAGGATAGAGACTACGTCACCTTTGCAATTGTCGAAGTTGCACTCACTATACGGAACGTAAAAATTACCTCTGCCCTCAAAAAAAGCACAAATACCTCTGCCTAAATTTCTCCTTTTTAACAAATCCTAGACGAAAATTGTTAATATCGACCGTGCTCCGAGACGTCGGGTCGATAGGGATCATTTAGTTCCCTCGCATAGCGTTATATTTGACACTTTTATTGTAAATTATGGCCCATATCAATGTAGAGTGTTCCACGGATACGAAACGAAGCGCAATCTTGACTTTTTCGTCGCGCCAGGGTCGGTTTCGGGAATATTTGAATCGAATTCGGTTCCATCACAATACCTTTAGTGTCAAGTTTTGGAATATACGCGTAATAGTAGTTTGACTTGGAATTGGCCTCTCTGGATATTTTACACTAAACAAAGTGGTAACTTGAAGGGCACTATGTCCTGAGAATTTCAATTTTCTCTGATAATGAATAGGTACTTACATTTTTATTTTATTTAATAAATTACAAGCAATAAGTGTGATGTCAAAAATAACAGAAAAAAGGGGTCTCTACTTTTTGATTTATAAAATTCCATGGCATCACATCAGATTGAAAAAGATGCGGTTATTATTTTTCCAATTTTCCGTCTTTATTATGAAAAAAATTGAAAAGTAATACTTACTGTTGAATGGCGTAAAAAAAATTTTTCTACAAAAAACCTTAATACATTTTTGCTCTAAAATAATTTGGGGAGCCAATAATCGCATATTATGAATTTTAGATTGAAATCCCTATGTTGCGTTACGCAAGTCACCACCCTATACAGGGTCATTCTTGACGGGCGTCAGTTAGAAAGATATGGAAAACCTTTGAAAATGAAAATAAACTGATAAGTTCTTTAAGGGTTTTGGCACATGATGAATTGAACTAAAATATTTTCAAGATGGCGCCACTTCCGGAAATACCGGAAGTAGTGATCACCTTTGTTATTTTAAATAGGGACCCCCTATTTTTTCTACATTTTCGGATTCTACGTCGAATTTGGAGTACAATGATACCCCATAGTTGACCCTTTGCTCCAAGGGCTTCGTCGATATTCAAGTTTTTATGTCAAAAATTGAATTTGCAGGGGTCATTTTAAAAATTTATTATTCGAAAACGGTGAGAGATATTGCAAAACAGTTTTCAATTGTTTATTAACAAAAAGATCGAATTTTCTTATGGTATACGAAATCGTCTAAAAAAGTGAGAGTACGTCACTTTTTCAAAGCTCTTAATTTTTAAATTTCGGTAACTCCATTTTTTTAAATGGCACCCCCCATTTTGTTCTTCACCGTTGTTTTCCTTTTTCCCAGACCTTTAATTTGATACAAAATGTCGAAAGCTGCTTCAAACGGTTTCCGAGATATTCCATGTTTTAGTTACTTCTTGTGGAAAATTGATAAGAAATTAATTCGCTTGATGTTATTCTTTAGTCCCTATTTAAAATAACAAAGGTGATGACTACTTCCGGTATTTCCGGAAGTGGCGCCATCTTGAAAATATTTTAGTTCAATTCATCATGTGCCAAAACCCTTAAAGAACTTATCAGTTTATTTTCATTTTCAAAGGTTTTCCACATCTTTCTAACTGACGCTCATCAAGAATGACCCTGTATATTATGATCCAAGGAAGTAATGAAGAAAAAAGCAAAGATATGGTAAATGTAAACAGTAAATTAATTGCTAGCTACTAATGGATATGGAGTTCAGAATATCTTACTTTGGTGGTGGCGCCACCTATGCAGTAATTTCGAGCTTTATAAAATAGCCCCTTTCAAAAATATAAATGGTCAATATAGTATATTGTATATTTTTGAGTGAATACTGTATACAATGTCTAAGTCACAAGACATAAGCGCTCTATGTACTAGAAAAATATATTATGATGGCACTTTACACCTAATACCTAACATACACAACTAAGAGTCTCTATTATGGTACAATCATGACGAACTGAAGGGCGAGAGATCTTGAGTACAAAACAATTCTACATATTACCTCGATCAATAATAGGCTTTAAGTCTTTACACGTACAGATCATTCATTTTTAGCGCAAAAAAAAAACAAGTCTGTACAAAATTACATGGCGAAAATGTTTAAGTAACCTTTATAGGATTATATATTACGTACGAACTAAAATGCCTAAACATATACACAAATCTAAACTAACACAATCGACGTAAAAACGCAACTTCAAACGCAAAAAAAAACAGTACACACATTTCTCTATACATTTTTTCCAGTTGGTTTAGTTACTAGCACGCGATGTGGTGTCTCGGTTTTTGAAGATCGAACGCCCACCTTGACGGGCCGCTTAAAACTACTCTTACTTTAACTACATGAGGTTCCGTGCGGTTCTAACTAATCTGTTGCGTTAACCAACCGGTCATAAACAAAATATGGGCGCTCGTCATTTTGTTCTTATATTTACACATAACTAAATGAAATCACGTTTAGAGCTGCACTGCGATAAGCATAAAATCGAGTCTTGGGAAATTTGTAATAAATAAAATTTCGGACTAGCAGAATTAAGTCGGCGGAGGAAAAATTGTACACATTCCCTCTGTGTTTGAATACATGAATACACTACCTATAAATATACTTCTCGGTTACATGCAATTTGGACCATTGCATCTTTACAAAAAATTATACTAAGACTATACTGACGTGATGTAAAAAAAGAACATCTCAAAAAAATTATTCCCGTCGGTAATACTGATACATAACCACAAAAATTGATCAAACTTACACGTATATAAATAAAAATCACAATAATCCAGAAAATGGTATCGTATAAACTTAGCTAAAAAATGAGCATGCAGGAAAATAAATAACGATGAGAGATGAGAACGATTTTACTTAAGCTTAGAGACGCCGAGCGCGGGCAGTTTATAATGAACGATATGGTACGGTGGTCCTATCGGACTTGTGTTGCCGGGTGCGTTGTACGTCGACGCCGGCGGCAACGACGCGCCCGACGGACCCGAACACGACCGTCCCCTTTTCCTTCGCGGCAATATACCTTTTCTCGCCATATAGAATCGTATCGTCGAGATTGGAATATTAAATTGATCACTAACATTTTGAAACGTCTGCCCTCTCGTTATGCACTCGGCCGCCCGGCGCAGCTCCTCGTCGGATCGACGGATGCGCCGGTTGGGACCGCCTGAAATCGAAGGATGAGAACAGTTTGGACAACGGCGTCTACTCACCCGGTGAGCCGTCGTACTGACAAGAGACGTTGGCGATGGCGTAGTCGGTTTTCGCGTCGCTGTTTAGTATGCCGTCTTCTTCTAAAAATTCCGTATCCATAAGCTCACTGTCGCCCTCATAACAAAAATCCTCTTCTGTCGGTTCCTCCTTCGCATCTTCATCTGTTAACACCAAACATTAATAAAATTCATAACAAAGGTTGTCATAATGGTATGGCGTCAGTATAGATAAGTAAGGCGGACGCCACTGTAAAAAGTACTAAATCCAGCAGTAACTCAAATGGGTCTCTGTATTTCATTATATAAAGTACAAAAGAGAAATAAATTTTTTTTTAAATATTGTAGCGAATTTTCTAGAGCGATACCAGGGCGCCATCAAGACCATAAAGCATTAGTCACCGGCGATAAGGTATCAAAGCGGACGTGACTCATTCTTTCCCTAAAATATGATACGTTGATTCGAGACCTCTCTAGAAGCTTTTTTTTTTGCTATATAAGCAAATTCAATTGTGTTTAGCCTTAGTCTTACTATCGATATCAAGATGATTAATAATGAAATACCGCGCACTGATATAATTACGTTAGAAATTACCTATTATAAATGTGTCTGCAAGTTAAGTAATAAACGTGAAATTGTTATAAGTACTATTTTATACAATTTTTAGAAGTTTCTAAAATTTTTTTTAATTTCTTTAAGAATAGTAGTAGCGTACAAGAAATTTGAAGTGGTTTGCCCTGAGGGAAAAATAACTGTACAACTTTGGTGTGCCCCGCTAGCATTTTGTAGAACTTTCTAGAATTTCTTATATTTTTAGAACTTTCCTTGAATGTTTTAGAATTTTTTACGGGCGCAAATGTACACACAATTACTATTTTACACAATTTTTAGAATTTTCAAAAAAATTTTTAGAACTTTTTTGAATTGTTTTTTTTAGAATTCTTTCCAAACACAATTACTATTTTATACAATTTTTAGAAATATTATCGAATGGACATTCACACAGAATTATTATTTTGAACAAACATTTTCTAGAATTTTTTTAATTTCTTTTAGAATTTAGCATTTTGTAGAATTTTCTAGAATTTTTTTTAGAATTTCTTAGAATTTTGTTGAAGTTTTCTTGAAATTCCTAGATTACTATTTTATACCATTTTTAGAATTCTCCAGAATTTTTGCAATTTTTAGCGAATTGAAAAAATTTTGAATTTTTTTCCGAACACAGATGCACACAAAATTACTTTATACAAATATTTTCTAGATTTTTTAAAAAGTCATTTAGAAATTTTAATGTGCACAAAATATGAAGTCATGTAGAATTTTAGTGTACACTACCAACATTTTGTGGAATATTTTTAGAATTTTTTAGAAAGTTCTAGAATTTTTTTAATTTGTTTAGAATTTTCTAGAATTTTTTTAGAATTTTCTAGAATTTTTAGAACTTATCTTGAATTTTCAAAATGTTGTCAGAACGCACATGCACACACTATGAAGTGCTAGTTTCTCCCATTTTTAAAATTGTCTAAAATCTTTTTAGAACTTTTCGTGTATTTTCTAGAATTTTTTTAGAATTTTTTTCACAATTCTTCCAGGATTCAAAAACAAAATCTAGAAATTGTAAAAAATCCTAAAATAGCAATTCCCATTCTAGAATAATCCAAACATTCTAGAAAAAATTCTAAGTTTCTACAAAATGCTAGTAGTGTTCACCAAAATTCTAGTGATTTTTTCTCAGGATAAACCGCTTAAAAATTTTGTGTACACTAAATTCTAAAAGAAGAATTTTAAAAACTTCTAAAAAACTAAAAATTGTATAAAATAGCAATTGTGTGTGCATGTGCTTTCGGAAAAAATTTAAAAATACTCATCTCAAAAATTCAAAAAAATTGTGTACCTAAAATAATATTTGCATGTGTTCGCAAAAAATTCTAAAACATCTTTAAAAAATTTTACAAAATGCTAGTGGTATACACCAAAATTCTACAGTGATTTTACCCACTTCAAATTTTGTGTACACTTAAATTCTAAAAAACATTTTAAACAATTCTGAAAAAATTCTAGAAAATGTTTGTAGAAAATAATAATTCTATGTGAATTTTCTAGAATTTAAAAAAATCTTTTTAATTTCTTTTAAAATTTGCTATACATAAAATTTTAAAAGAAATTAAAAAGATTTTTTAAATTCTAGAAAATTCACATACCCACAATTCTAAAAATTGTATAAAATAGTAATTGGTGTGCATGTGCGTTCGAGAAAAAATCTTGAAGATTCAAGGAGTTCTAAAAAAACTCTAGAAAAATTCTAAACAGTTCTAAAAAAAGTCTAGAAAATTGTCAAGTGTTAAAATAATAATTGTGCTCGGAAAAAAATTCTAGAAAATTCACGAAAAGTTCTAAAAACATTCTCAAAAACTCTACAAAATGCTAGTAGCGTACACCAAAATTCTACAGTAATTCTTCTCTCATGATAAAATATTGTGTACAAAAAATTCTAAAAAAAATTGTATAAAATAGTAGTGTCTGCATGTGCGTTCGGAAAAAATTCAGGAAAAGATCCACAAACATTTTAGAAATTTCTAAAAATTGTAAAAAATATTAATTGTGTCTTTGTGCGTTCGGAAAAAATCTAAGATTCAAGAAATTCTAAAAAAAATCTAGAAAATTCTAAACAAATTAAAAAAATTCTAGAAAATTCACAAAAAGTTTTAAAAAAACCCTAGAACATGCACACAGATATTTTATACTTTCTAAACATTTTTTAAAATTAATTTTAAAATTTACGGTTCACAACGTTTAAAGTGGTTTACTCTGAGAGGAAAATAAGTTAGTAAATTTAAAGTGGAGAAAATCACTGTAGAATTTTGGTGTACACTACACTAACATTTTGTAAAATTTTTTAGAATTGTATACAATTTTTTTAAACATTTTTAAAATTTTAGAGGTTTTTTAGAATTTTAAAATTTCGTATACACAAAATTATAATTGGTTTACCCCGAAGAGAAAATCACTGTTGAATTTTGTTTTCCACTAGTGGCACTTTCTAGAATTTTTTAGAATTGTTTTAATTTTTTTTTAGAATTTGCTAGAATTTTTTTAGAACTTTTCTAGAATTTTTTTTCCGAGCGCACATTCAAACGCAATTATTATTTTATACATTTAAGATACGAAAAAAAAAGGAAAAAATGTAACACCCTGTATCTCAGAAAATGAAGCATTTGCAGACAGAAGATATACCCTTAGATCATATAAACATGATCTAAGGATATACCTATAGCAACCTGTCATTTTTTTCATGCAGAATTACCCCCTAATGTTTGTCGCACGCTTTTCACCCTGTAGAGAAGTAATTATGAACTACTCTCATTTCTTAGTGCAGAATCCATTGGTTAACAGAACATTTGATTCAAGAAGTGACTCAACTTTCAATTGGTATTGTGTGTTGCCTATCCCTTATTCATCCACCAATTATAAAAATTGCTTTGGAGTGCACCACTGCATAAGAGTCATACATATTATTTCCCTCTCTCTTTTATTAGAAAAGTGTACCTTTCAATTTTGATTTACATTTCTGTGGTGGCAAATTGCAAGTTACTTTTGGATGTATAATGTGTTGCCTAAGCTACAGGCATTCTGTTTTTGCTTACTTTGCAGTATCAGTATTTAACATGCTGTTGGTTTTACCTTTGACTTGTGCTTCGTTGGAATCCGTCTCCGAGGATGAAGGCTGTGCGGGTGGATCGGTTACTTCCTCCGTCTTCTCCAGTTTACAGTTGACAGTTTGAGGATCTGTCGAACTTTTCACGGGCGGAGTGACGATCGCCTTTTCCCCGTTTGTACTCGCCGCCGCCGCCTTCATCTGCAACGGTCAGGTTAATGGCAATGTTCGACTAACCGAGCTCTCACTTGTGCTTTTAGGTTGCCGAGATGGTGCTGATTGAGGAGCTGGTCCGAACCGCACAATCCCCGTATCTGAAGAGCTTCGGCCGACTTGAGTAAGGAGGGCAGATCGTCCTGGGTCACGTTCACTTCGCCTTTGTACATGAAATCGACCAACGACTGCATCTCCTGAAACCTGAAACGACGGTAAATCGAAATTCGATAATCCACGACTTACTTCATATCCTTCATGAAGATAATGGGATGTTGGCAGGGGTTATCTAGGAGCAACTTTTCGAAGTAAGTCGAGCACGCCGACAGTACGACTTTGTGGCACTTTAACATTTCGTTTTCGCAGGCGAGGGTGACGTCAACAAAATGCTCCGATGTCAGTAGTTTCGGAAAGGCGTTCTGCAAATTCGACTGATAACTGTTCCATCGTACACAAAACTGTTGCGGTGGTGGAGCCGCCATAACTGGGCCTAAAAATGAAATTCAAAAAAATTACCGGCACTTTAAAAAAAAAACCAAAACATAACCTCCCAAGCATAACCTTAAACGTAAAAGCCCTTTTGGTCGGTTTTTGAAAATCTAGTTGCCCCCCGCAATTGTAAATAGGAAAACACTTACCAGAAGAGGGGTAATTCGCGTAAACTCCCTTTATAAAAAATGTTTATATTTCAAACTGGATATAACAAAGATCGCACAGTTTATTGTTTAAAAGTGTTGGGGATTCTTAAAGAGAGACTATTCGGAGAATTATCCAAAATAAATGACGCTACGCCATTTTGGCGAACCCCTAAATTGTCGTCTAAAAATGTTGAACAAATACAACAATTTAACACAATAGCGCACACATTTCACGACGGATTTTAATAAAAAATTACAAAATCGCCTTTATTCTTTAGATACGGTCGACGGTGAAACGCAAACAAATAAAAATTAGACGAAAAATCAATACAAAACTTTTTAATGCAAAATGTAGAGTTAAATAATTATATTGCTCGACGGACTCAAACCAAGACGGATGTCTTCGGAGAGCCGCACTTTAAGAATTCACACAATCGAGGGGTGCGAAGAAGGCGACGTACGTCGACGCTTGCAGCGCGATGCTATAAATTTACCCATCTCTATGTAGGGGGTGTAATATTATAATTCGAAGGTAAACAAGACCCTTTATTCGACGAATTCTTAGTAATTTTGACTGAAACTTACCGTGTCAATAAACCGATAAGGTGTACGCAACCAATACGCGTAAAATCATTTAGCAACAATCGCGTAAATCAATTAAAACCGCCTTCTAAATATAATATTTATATATAGCAACCGCCATTTTGCAATTCGCCGGTCTAAATAGCGTTTTATTATTTACCCTTATCTACACGCGTTCCAGTCGGAGGGCTTTCACACGCCGTCGATTTTTTTTTAAATTTTCCCACTATCTCCACCGTCTTTTGAATATCAAACCCGCGCGAATTTAATTCGATCGTTTAACAACAACAATCTCGAGTGGCGCACGAAGTAACATTTACAAAGCTCGAACGCCCTCGATTTTCTTTCATGCAAATAAAAAAAAACGAAATGATTATTAACCTTTTTCGAACGCATTTATTACTTTAGGGGGATTCTGCAATGAATGCGCGCCACTTTTGAACGGAAAAGAAACCCCTCCAAATTCGAAATAGCGACTGGGATTGGTAGCTTTCTTATTTTAAATGATGAAGTAATACATAAAGGCTGTTTTAATCTTTATGTTCTCCTTTGATGCAAGAGGTAATTAATTCCAAAAGACGTCCAGAGGCCAGAGTAAAGCAAATACGAGCACAATCTAGATAGCAGGACTGTGTAACCGGCAATTGTTGTAGGTAGCAGTGGCGTAGCATATGATAGTTACAAAGAACATTTCCATTGTATTGCATTGTGTGTGATTGCAAAAGGCACAAGGCGCCTAATAAAAGGATTTTTTTGCTGCCCTTAGGTACTCGTTTTAGAGTACTTAGCCGATTGAAGAAGCTAATTATACTGCTCTGAGGTTTATAGTTCCCCTATCTCGTGCGGTTTCAGCTTGTCCCAGACGAGGTCAATTAGCCTTTACCCGACAACAGCCTCGCATCAACATGGAATATATTCAGCCGTGTCATCTGCCGGTCCACAAAGTCTGCATGTGTCGTTTGCCGCTGCGCCATTCTTATGTCTTCGTACCCTCGGCCATCAGTGATGGATCGTATTCATCTCCTCTCACTGATGGGTTAGCGGGCTTCTTTTATGTGACTTTTGTGCAGTCCACAGAAGGGTTCCGGCCCTATTGCCTCCCGCTTGGCTCCTTGTTCGGCCAGTTTATCTACCTATTCATGTTGCGTCCAATGTACGAATGCGTAACTGGTTCTCATCTTAGTGTGATAGTTTATGGCGCTGACTATCCCTGTTTTAAAGTCTTTTTGGTTTGAACCTTTGTAGAACCCTGGGTTTTTTTTCTTTCCCAATTATCTTTTTGTGTAAGGTTTATACTGTATCCTCCTCAAGAAGTGCTAGGTGTCTTATACTAGGTGCCACCTTCTGGTACAAGGCACCACCAGCGTTTTGAGCGGATTATAATGCTCAGGCTGTTATCTGTACACCACCCCTGTGCGATTCAGAGCCTTTTGCAATTGCTCAGACGCCACCTGAACTCAGACCCAAATGAAATATCCGGTTCTGTTTATATATAAGCGGTTCCGGTCCGGTTTCGGTTCTAAAAAAAATAACCGTCGGGTTCTGCGCATTTTTTTTCGGTCCATAACGGTTCTTTTCGGTTCTAGTCTTTTAGATATAAATACCTACCTACGGCATGTGAAAAAGAAGTAAAAAGTTATGAGTACCAAAACGTGACGTATCGTCACTTCGTCAGTGTAGCTAATTTACAAGGGGAATGGAGGGAAGAGGGAAATATTTATTTAAACTTAATTTATTAATAAAAAACAGAAAAAATACACAAAAACTTATTATGTATGGGATATTATTTTTATTTTCTAAAACCTCGCTCTCCTTTTATTATTTACATTCACAGTAGTAGCTAAATTACCGCCTTAGTCTTATTAACGAGCTCCTAGCGAGTGTATAATTTTGTGGTGTCTGTCCGTCCGTCCGTTAGCACGATAACTCATAAACGAATGGACCGATTGCGATGAAATTTTGCAGGTGGATTCTTTATCAAATTTGTAGATCGGAGTTCGTGAATTGGCAATGTAGCCCAAAAAATAAAGTAGGCCCTTTTGACATCTCCGTTAGTTATGAACCGAAAATTCAATATGCGCATAGATTTAGCCATATACTCGTAAAACACAATTCCAAAAGTTGAGCCTAATCGATCAGCATTCACAGTGCCCTTTGCGCATCTCGACCATTTACAGACCGAATTGCAAACTTTCTTATTTATGGAGGGATTTAAATGAAATTTGATACATAGCCACTGGAAATAAAAGCAAATTTAACGCCAGTTTCAAAATTTGGTTTTGCGCATGCGCAGTGCCAACTTTCTTATTTATGGAGGTATTCAAATGAAATTTCATACATATACACTTTAAATAAAAGTAATAAACTAACATCCGGTTTGAAATTTGGTTTTGCACATGCTATAGCCATACCCAGGAGCTCCTTTGCTATATATAGAGTAATATATTTGATCAATATTCAGGACGTATTTGGCGCCGCGTCCTTCAACTTCCAATAACCTGCTAAGAACCGTAAAAAACCCGTTAAAAAAAAAGGGTTCCGGTTCGCATTAAGTTTCCATTTCTGAAGAAATAACGATTTCGGTGCGGGTTTTCGGTCCTGAAAAAATTCTGGTCCGATCCGGTTTTCGGTTCGGTCCAGGTCCCCCGCTGCATACCCTTGCACATATTTCATTATTTTTGTCTTAGCATTAGTTAGTAGGTCATCAATGAAGATTTTTGAGGCTCCGCTTTTAGCTCTGCCTTACCTTTCTGCTTTTGGAAAAAGTAAGTGCTCATGAGGATGTATGAAAGTAAGAACACTTTGTTATCTGATTCTCACAGTAAAGAACGTAATAGGCCAGGGGTGAGGACATAAATTTAAAACAGGGTTACATAAAATAATTGCAGCATTTAAGCGAGCCAAAGAGGATTTATTATTTATAAGTAACAAAAAATCAAAAAAAAGAGTAGGACGCGTCGTAGAAAAACCTCGCAGTTTGATTATTAATATCCACATAGATAATTACCTCTTAATTATCTATGGTTCTCCAGATGGCGCAAACAGCTTTGCCCCCTCTCCTCATCTAACAGTTGCGTCGTTGCCAACTCTCAAAAATGTGTGCATCGTCGTAAGTTTTATATATACAGGGTGGAACCTCTCAGACTGCTCATTATAATTATAGCGTCGAAGTTTGGCTTCAAATTAGTGGAAGAATTTCGCAAGACGCTCTCTAGATGTTCCTCAGTCATCCTGTTCATAAATTTCTTCTTACGAATGCAGATTACGAGTACTAATCGCGGGCCGCTATTTTCCCATTCCTATAAATAGGCGAACACTGTTAATCTAACAAACATAACCACACTCTTGTTAAAGCAGGGAAAACAGAAACGTAAATGTTCGACTTCAACTTACTTTTCCCACGTAAACAGACTACGTAGAATCCAAGGACGTTAAAAATACCTAACGTCCTTGTTACAATCAAATAGTACACAACGTTATATACTCTTTGGTACAATTTAAAAATTTACTGTCTTCTGACTGGCTAACGGACAAACGGAAACGTATGAACCCACCTTAAATCTACTTATTATACATGATATTTCAACAGAAATTTGACCAAATCTTAAAATTTCACATTTGTGAATGGTGGATGGCTATATCTTAAGTATTGAACTTAGAAAGCTGGTTCTGGTTACAAATTGGAGAAATTTTAGTCTGCTTTAAACACGCGCAGGAAACATTTTTTAACCTAACGCATAGGACTTCTTTTCATAGTTTTAGTGTGCTGCAAAGTTATTGGTCCTAACATATTAAAAAATCAGAGCTAGCCATTAGTATGCGATTTATGGTGCACTATGACTGGCCTAGGTGGTGACCTTGGTTAATCTGGTTTTGTGTATTTCAGATGGCAAAAACATGGAGGTGAAGGAGATAATTAAAATAATACCATAGTTTTACAAAAATACTTTCAGTTAGATAAACAATACACTGGTAATTATAAATACAAATCATACGGTAAAAAAATTGGCATCTTAAGTACACTAAAATTGGCATTAAATAGCTTAAATTGATATGTGCTGAGCGCAACTCGCTCAGAAGGCCCCCTTTTAATGCTGCTGCTGCATTTGCGCTTGCATCGCGACCAACATTTCCTGCATACGTTTCAGCTCCGCCTCCTTCTCCGCCAACATTCTGTCCTTATCACCCAACATTCCGTTCTTCTCGTCTGTAATCCTAAAAGACAAAAGTGCACTTGGCAAAAATGTCCAACCGGGCTACTTACACATTTCGCTTGGTGACTGCGCTGGCGGCGGGTGGCGGGGCGCCCTTCGCCAATCTCTCGGAGCGGTAATTCTCGTAGTGCACCTCCTGGGTGACCTCCTGCAAATCTTGCATGTGCGTGATGAGCATCGTGCGCAACTTAACGAAGTCGCAATGCTCGGGATTCTCCACCTCGACGACTCCCCACGGATAGAGGCGCCCCCTCACCTTCCTGCCACGTACTTCCAACGTAGTGTTAGAACCGCACACCGCAAACGGTATCGCCTGCTTCAGCTGACGAACTTGCTCCTTGTACTCCTCGTCTTCGTCCGAATCGCACTCCGGAAGCGGGTAGATTTTGATACCGTGCTCGGAGATCTCGCCCAGGACACGCTGTTTGAGCCGTTGCATTTCCTTTTTGGTTAGAACGTCCGCTTTGGCGATAACAGGAACAATGTTTACTTTGTTGTGAAGCTGCTTCATAAATTCCACATCCAGAGGTTTTAAGCTGAAAGAACGGATGGAATTCCCCACCTCAAATTGGGTTGCTTACCCGTGTCCAAACGGTGAAATAAAGTAGAAGCAGCAGTGTATACGATTATCTACGATATTTCGCCTGTTAAGCCCAGACTCGTCCTTTAAGAATCTTTCGAACTGCTCATCGATGTAACGGATTATCGCCTTGAAGCAATCCGTATTGTCAATCGCCTCGCCGTAACCGGGCGTATCGACGACAGTAAGACGTAGCTTAACGCCTCGCTCTTCGATTTCGACGGTCGACGCATCCAATCGAACCGTCTGTTTGCTTTTCTCGATCGCGTCCGGGATGACGCGCTCCGGATATAAATCGGTCAGAAATAGAGAATTCACAAGGGTCGACTTTCCTAGACCGCTCTCGCCCACCACCATCAGGGTGAACTCGAAGCCTTTCTTAACGGACTTGCGATGAACTTGATTGGGCAAATTGGCGAAGCCGACATAACCTGGCGTTTCCAAACCTGAAAACTGCTAGAAGCTGTTTTCGTGCGATACAAAATGATCGGGGAGGATCTTACGCCTTTTACTGAGTCGCTCGACATCTTTCCGCCGGTGCGTTTATTTATTTTCGCGATTTTCTCTTTCAAAGTAGATAAACAGAACAATTTTTTAAATCAAACATGGGCGTGGCACTTATTTAAATAATACCAACCAAAGGTGGTGAAATTTAAAAGTCATCTCGCTGCCAACGGTGGGACGCGTTCAGTGTATCACTACACTAGTAGACTGCTTTATTTTTCTGGCAAGATCCAAGGACGGTCTGCGGTTCCAGTTTTTTTTTTTTTTTTTTAATAAGGCTTTTTCGGGGATCTAAGCCACGGTAATATACTATGGGAAGAATCAAGGACACTCGCTTCTCGCCCAGAGGTTTATCAAGGCTTTTCAATGACAATACTGTACACGACCATGGTTAACGAGGAATAGGGCGGCACAGAGGATAAGACAGCGGAAAACAGAATTTTATATGAATTTATATACCGTCAAATATTTAGTTTGATTTTATGAATTAAGTCCACTAGCACTACTAGCAGATCAAACACCCCTCGGTCGTTACTTCTTAATACGGTGACTATATTTAATGGGAACACCATTCCCTTGTTCTGCAGTCCTTCGTACAATTTATATGTATGTGTTTTATTCAAGGGACAGTTAAAAAAAATGTGATTAAGGTCTGCAACAGGTTCACCGCAAGCACATTGCGGGCTATCCAACACTTTGATCTTGTGCAGGTGCGCGGGAAATCTTCCGTGGCCAAACTTCAATCTGGCTAATATGACGTCATATCTGCGAGAGACAACGTTTTTGGAGTTACTCCACGGACGAAGTGTTACTTCCGGATGAATTAAGGCATACTGTGTGGGTTTAAAGCTGCATTCACAACCTCCAATTAATGTTTATAATTAATGAGTGAATTATTTCGTTAACTTTACGCAAAGCAATCATTCGCAATGCCTGGAATTAATACGCGAAATTAATGTGTAAACAGTGTCGCCACCTATGCACCGGCGAGGCAATTGGTTAATTGTTTATACAACAACTTTCAACATAACCTTGTAGCTCAAGCACAAGAATCAGTGTTTGTGTTAATAAGTGTCTTTTAACTATAACTAGCCTTATCCTAAAGTGGCAAGATACTTTTTTCTGTTCGCCATTTTCATTGTATATGTAAACAAAATCAAAACAAACAAAACATGGTTATGTCGGCTGTCATATAAAAGCACGCATGCGTACCTTTGTTCATTTCCGTAAAATTAAGCGACAAAGTTTGCAGTTTGCAAACTTCTGCGTTAAGTATTAATTTCGACGATTAATTTTCTATATTGTGAATGTTACCCTTAAAATACATAGCTTTAAACATTTACGTTAATTTTCGATTGTTAATTGTAGGTATTAATTTTGAGGTTGTGAATGCTACTTTATGCTATAAGCATTTTTCCAATGTACTATGTCCATTGGGTCTCTTTGCCACACCTAAGTATATAATCAGATTTCGCAATTTTGTTTTCGAAATATATATCTGATTTGATGGCTTTCTTTGCCAATATGTCCACCTGCTCATTGCCCTTTAATCCAATAAAATTTTACATTCCTTTTAAACTTCAGCGCTCTTAATATAATGTTGGAAACTATAGGGTTTGATTATAATCTTCCTATCTTATTGTAGTTTTTTAAAGCTTGCAGCACGCTAAAACTATCAGTCATGATCGCCACCTTATTACTTGACGCGCTATCCCCACAGTGGAGCAGTGCCTGCCAGATTGCATATGCTTCTGCTGTAAATATGGATGTAGAATCGTTTAGTTTAAAACATCCTTTCTCTTGGCTTCTCGCGTTTAAGAATGCGCATCCACACCCTTGATCCCCCTTTGATCCGTCTGTATACAAAATTCAGCTGTAATGGAGGTGTGGAGCTTACGATCATGGTCCGGCTGCCCAGTGTACGGTGGAAAAACTACTTCGAGGCCCTTTAAATATTATATCTCAAAATTACTTTGTGGAAAAATGCTCGAGTTAAACGTTTTAATTAATGAGTACGCTTTGGTTAAGGGTGGAGAACTTTTATTTTGCCAAAACCTAGAACATAAATCCAACACAGTGAGATTGTTTACTTTGGAAATAAGCACGTTAGCGTTTATTGCTAGGATTTTAGCTACGTATTTGACTGCCAAAAACTTGCGACGCAGGTGTATAGCGGGGGTTCTTGTGCTTGAATTAGCATTTATTGGTGTCGAACGCATGGCTCCTATGGTTAGTCTCAGAGCTTTATTTTGCATAACGTCGATCCTTTTAAGTTTATCCTTGGATGCATTGCCGTATAAAGTACAACCATAGTCTATTAATGATCGGGACCACGAACTTATAAATTATGATGGACTGCTAATGTTGAAACGACAAATGACACGTACATGGGGGCAGTCATGAGGTGCACTCACTTAGCGCGAAATTCAAATCAACTAATAAACAAGCATGAACCTCACGTTTTCTAAATAAATTACTGTGACACATTGAGATGCCCCAACCTTAGCAACGTCCTGTGAATATGATTGTCGATACGAAGCACCCTATACATCATGTTAGTTATGCTAAAAGGCTGCTAAAAGAGAGCGAAGATGAGACGGATGGAATTCTAGGAAGAACACATGTGTTTACCATTTCAAACAATGGGCGATTTTCGGGTAGTTTTTAGGGGTATTAGCAGATCAAATTACAGCGTGGCTTGGGTTGGTCAATAAATAGGATTTAAAATGTGTGTTCATGGTCTTTGTCTTGTAACCGGCTGAAGTGTAAAGTACGGCTTGTCTTGAAATATTTTGTTATACCTTAATCATTGCTGTGTGCTGTTATATCAGGTGAGGTATTTGCTTTATTCAATTAATCTATAAATGTGTGTAACTTGAATGCAGATTGTAACCCTTTATTTATGTACTTACTGAATTCAATCACTTGTACCTTTAATGTGTAACCTTTGTTGGTATTGGCAATCATGTTTCATTGTCGGTAGGGCTGTATCTGTGCTGTACATACTTGCATGTGTACATATTTGTGTATTGTGCTTTTTAGTCACTCTCGATTATTTCATTGCATTTCATTATATTTGCTTATTTGAGGCTGTGAGTAATCAAGAGGGAAGTGTGCTTGTTTAGAGGAGATCGAGTTATTCAAGTTTATACGGGCCTTGGTGAACCTAACACTAACATTTTCACTCGTTCCGAACCCAACAATTTTAGCCCATGTCTACAGGCCTGGGTAATCCTCCCGCCCGGCGAGGTATATTTGACATCTCTTAGTTTTGTCTGATGTATGTGTTGTAATACCTGGGGAATGGCTCGATTCCATTTTGGTTACTCATAGCGTGTATGTAGTATTTACCTCGGTTTCGAGAGGGCTCAAAAGTGCTGTACATTATATGTTAGCTGTACGCTTTGTTCATTATAGGACTACTCCGAATTAGTTTTTCTTGCAGTTTTCCTAATTTGTAAGGCAAATGCCGGAGTAGTATAGAACCACTTAAGGCCCTTTGCAAGGGCGCCGTATTGGTATTAGCTTCAATATAATCTTAATCAGGTATCGCTTTTGGTGTTCCTTACCCATAAAACGCACTAGTGCCTGCTGAGAACCCAGTTATTACACAACGTAGGTGTCCTACATGACGATCACGATCTTAGTGCACTCGGAGTGGCCCCCGAGTGACAGATTCTCGCGGGAAACTTAAGCAAGAATATTCAAATAGGCAGCCATGTTAGTTTAGCATTCCCGATACTACAGAATATGGTCAAATATTCCGGTGCAACTTGAAGTTGGCGTTAGCCCGCCAAGATAGCATGAGGCTAAGATCATTACAATACTTAATTTTGGGTTAACAAGGTAAAATAATGGAAACAGGAAACGCGTGCGCGCCTCTTCTAATGTCATTGGTTCGCAATAAATAAGGAATAAAAATTCGACTGAACGAAATTATTATTTCTTATTTGTTAGGCTTATTTCATTTTCAGATTGAAAATTGTTATTCCTTTATTTCTTATTTGTTATTTCATATTTATTATTTCTTATTTTTTTCATTGTGTGATGGGCTTTTCAGAATGGCCATCACAAGTAGATTCAATCCTTTTCCATGTGTGAAGGAATACATTCTGGAGTCTCTTACATAAAGTACATAAAATATACATAGTTAATTAGCCGGACCTCCTCCAATCCGGCATGTATCTATAGGTCCTGGATACGGTAACCTTGGACTAAAGTTGTAGTTCATTTAATTCGGACTAAAACTGAATACTTAGCACGGATCTCTTTTTTTTAACACAATGCGTGTTTTGGTCTAATTTAAAATTGTCAGCGGTATCCACCGAGTTGTATACACTAAATAGAGGAGCAGAACATAGGACCTGCGCGTGGAAAAATAACTCCAACTACAGTGGCCGTTGTGACACATGCGTGGTGCGTGAAAATAGTGATTCGTCACTATATCTCCATCTGGTTAGTGCGCACACTCCCCTACGATCTGCGCAAGACTCAATTGGGGTCAATTATATCCACAGCAACACTGTTTCTCTATTTACTATATATGCAACTCTGTGGCGGTGGCGGTATCTCACTGTAAATAGATATAGGGCTACGTTCTTCGCTGTCCATAGTCAAGTAAGTAATTAGTGATTATGAACCTATAACTTGCAAGGGGCGTCTTTTGGGTAATCAGCAAATGCATATTCTCGCAATCAAACCAGCGTTATAAAAGATTTCAAGCAAGATTAGTAAACCGAGGAAGGTGGCAAGATCTGTGATAAGACACCGCGATTAAGGTGAAAAGAAAATTTTTATTATAATCAATTTCCTTTAATTTGTTATAATTGTATATAATCAACATTCGGATTTCCGGTGCGTGTAGTCGCCATGGCAATCCAAACCAACCGCACTACTAATATACATAAAATAAATAGGTATAAGGCTTCCAATATAGAATAGAAAATGCTAGAAGCTAAAGTAGCGCTATAGACGAGTCACTTTTTTCTTCAGTAGCAACAACATTAGATTAATTGTAGTATAATACGGCGTTGTCGTTGGCAACGATGCTCTACTGATGTTTTTACGGTACCCCCATTGTCTATCAGCAGGACCAAAGCTTTAATTTGAAGGAAAAGGCATTATTAAGACAATGTGATTTGCACACGATAATAATAATAAGGAGTGTATGCTTTTTCTCCTAGTCACTAAATCACATAATTATTGTAAAATTGTATACATATTAAAATACAGGCCGTCAAGCTTTTATATAATATGTAAGTTAATCAATTTCGACAAGAGAAAGCTTGAGATGGTACTTACGGAATGTAACAAACGATTATCAACATCTAATTAAACCTTTCTTTGTAAAAATTTGATCAGCATACTCCGATACAGAAATTGGAGCGTGCATTGGCATAAAAATTCAGTCGACTTCGAATTAGGATTTTTAACTGGTCGAACCTTCACTCTGAACTCTGGTTTATGGGTCGTAAAGTCCGCTCGTACTTTTATAATTTGTCGATAGTTTTAAATACGAATTTGCGCGTACGCTTATATTACGAAGACAGTTTTTGACATAAATATTTTGTACGATAATTGTTTATGCACTGGGGTAAGGACATCAGACTAATGTACCTGCCCCCAAATCTCCTGTGTTCCCAAGATTACAAGTACGTTTTTCTGAAGTCCTGAACTTTAATTCAATCCGCAACACTTTCGTACGGAGAATTCGCGCGGATTTTCGAATTCGATTACTTTCAGTCCTTCGAATTTTGACTGATGAACGGTTTGGCGCGAATTTTAATTATGATTCCTTTGACTTGCGCTCTACCAATGCTCAAAACTCCGAGCTGAGCTCTTTGACAGCCCAAAACGAATTTATTTTCTCCTCTCTTAGGATCAACTAGTCCACCCTACAGATCAGCAAAATTGGCAGGTTTAAGAAGGTGCGCAGTGTTCTTATCAAAAACCGGATACGATTCAGCTGTACCATACCTTATTTCTCATGAATTGTATCTCGCGACTTAGTGAGTCTTCAAGATTATATACGCAAATAATTCCGTATCTAGAAACGTTAGCACACACAAAATCAATCAATGGAATTAAGTTCAAAATCGCCTTAACCGCATCACCAGGACAACTGCATGTTTCAACAGCAGAAAAATTATAAAAGAAGAGAGAACAGGCCACATTTGACTCTAGTCGTGAAAACAATACATGGTTATACATACTGGTAAGTACAGCTTAAGTGCAGGAAATTGAAAAAGTTTGCTCGTTTTATTTGATTTTAGTTTAAAATCCCAAGAAGGAACACGGATTGTAACGGGAGCCCGTTAACGATTTTATTTTAGTCTGATTTTAATTACATATATTCAACTTTCTTATTTATTGAGATATTTTTTTGATATTTTAACCAGATTCTTTTAGTAAAGACAATCAGATTGTAAAAATCAAATGGGCGCATGCGCAAACTGCGTAATATCAACTCCGCCCACTATAAAATAAAGGTAATAAAAAATAACTTTCTTTATATGGAGATATCTTTTTGAAATTTTAACCGAAGATGCTTCTAGTAAAGACAAGCATATCGCATATTATTGTAACGGAAATGCTCCAGACATGACGTCGCCTTTGGCGATCTGGAATTTTCTACGCGTATTCGAGAATGTTCGGACTTACATTGCTTGCGTGTATAAATGGTTGCGGACCGAACATCGCGGCAGTCTACTATCGAACGAGATCGAGTGCGAACGAAACAGAGCGCGAAAAGCTGATGATATAAATTTCGAAGTGTGTGATATAAATAATCGATATAAATTGTACGGATTTTATAGTGTTTTAGTTTTGTTTAATAAATATTGATATAAATCGAACCCGAATTTATAAATAACGTTACATTGGTGTCAGGAGTGGGATTAATTAAATTAATTAAAAGTAAGATTAAATTAAGTGCTTGTGCTTGTGTATGCCTGTAACAAGATCTGCTGCCGCTAAAATGGAAGAAACGATGCTCAATTTGCTCCAGCAAATCCAAAATGGCCAACAGGTGTTGCAACAAGAAATGAAAAGCACCCAAGAAAATTCTAGAAATATTCAAGAGAAGTTGGAAGAAAATTCTAGAAATTTTGAAGAGAAGTTCGAGAAAATGGAAGAAAATTCTAGAAATATTCAAGAGAAGTTCGAGAAGATGGAGGAAAATTCTAGAAAGATTAATGAAGAAAATTCTAGAAATATTCAAGAGAAGTTCGAAGAAAATTCTAGACATTTTGAAGAGAAGTTCGAGAAAATGGAAGAAAATTCTAGAAATATTCAAGAGAAATTCGAGAAGATGGAGGAAAATTCTAGAAAGATTATCGAAGAAGTTGAAGAAAAAGTTGAAGATAGAATTACGGAAGTTTCCAAAACATTTAAAGCAACATTCGTTGAGATTGAGCACAAGTATGAAGAGCTGCGCGAGCAATTCTTGCGACTGACTACGGAAGAGCGTACTAGTAGTGCCCCAGATGAATTACTGATGGACCGTCTTCTTGAGGTGCCACAGTCTACTCATTACAAGAAGGTCGACCCAGAAACAAATACAAGAGTAGAAGGCGACGTTCAGCAAGCCCGAGTAAAGCCACCTACTTTTGATGGTAAGATTCCTTGGACCACGTACGTTCGACAGTTTGAAGCAGCGGCTGCGGCAAATAAATGGACTCTTCAAGACAAAACTACAGCCCTGATTCTTGCTCTGAGAGGAGATGCTCTGGATGTGTTGCGGACCATCCCCGAGGATCAACAGAACTTCCAACAAATAGTAGCGCGACTTGAAATGCGATATGGCGATAAACACCTTCAGCAAGTTTACTATGCCCAAGTCAAGAACCGAATGCAGAAACCTGGAGAAAGTTTGCAGGAACTTGAAGCGGACATCGCTAGACTGATTCGATTGGCATACCCTACGGCACCGGAGAGCTTTCTTGATCAACTGGCTGTACAAACATTTATCGATGCCGTTCGTGATGGAGATGCCCAGCAGGCTTTGAGACTGGCTAGGCACGACAAAATTGAGAAAGCTTTGGCCCATGCGTTAGAATTCGAAGCCGCCAAGAAAGCTAGTCATGGAAGTGCGCGAGTACGTGTGGTGGAACCTCGCAGTGAGAGCCGGGTAACCATCGAAGAGGAAGGTGGCTCTGAAAGTTTTGAAGAAAAGGTCAGTAAAGTAGTGGAAGAAAAGGTCAATAGAGCAATACAGTCACTGGCAAAGAAACGTGAACCACGATGTTGGAATTGCGGCGATATTGGACACGTTCGCCGCAACTGCCAAAAACCATTACAGCAGTCGGAAAACTAAGAAAGGTCGACAGGAAGGGGCTATCGTCGACCTGCAGAAACAAAGCCCCGATCTTCACTGTAAACATTACGTCGTCTGGAAAAGTTCTGAGCCTGTACATCGATGGCCGAGTTAATGGAGAAGACAGATCCTTGCTAGTAGACACAGGTGCAACAAGAACTATTGCAAGACCAGAGTTATTGAAGAATCATTCTCGGATCTCATCTTCGACCGTGCAGTTAAAAACAGCAACTGGTGAAAGAATAAAAACGCACGGAGAAATACAAATGTCTGTCACCATCGGGAAGACCACCATCAATCACCAGGTGCTAATTGCTGATATTTCTGATAAATTCATCTTGGGGATGGATCTTCTTAAGAAACTCGGAGCTGTGTTGGACGTGAAAAAGGGCGTGTTAAAGGTCGGCGATGAAGAACTCCCTTTCCATGAAGACAAAGAAGATGTCATCCGCCTGTTAACCACTCATGACGTCATTATACCCGGACTTAGTGAAAAAATTATAATGACCACTTTAGATGGATATTGTCGCCAGGGAAGCCTACGGATAGTCGAAGCACTAAACGAAAAGGTATTTCTAGTGGCTAGGGCTCTGGTAAAAGTTCAAAATGGCGTTCCGATTCGAATTATGAATTTGAAAGATAGTCCTGTTAAGCTAAGCAAACGAACTGCAGTTGGACAGTGTGTGCCCATCTCGGCTATTCGCTCTGTGAGATCGGAAAATCTATCTAAAGGAAAGTATCCAAGAGAGCTGATAGATATGGTCATTAAAAACACTCCAGATTTGGACAATAGACAACGACAAAAGGTGAAAAATATGCTTGTGGAATTTCGGGATGTGTTCGCGGTAAACGACCAGGACAAGGGAAAGACAAGCATAGTCACCCATAAAATAAATACTGGCAATTCCCAACCGATTAGACAACAGCCAAGGCGACTCCCATTGGCTAAACGAGACGAAGCGGAAGAGATTATTAGAGACATGAGAAAACAAGGTGTCATCGAGCCATCGAATAGTCCTTGGTCATCACCGATAGTGCTTGTAAAGAAGAAGGATGGCTCCACAAGATTTTGCGTTGACTACCGTCTGTTAAATTCGGTCACCAAGAAAGATAGCTATCCACTGCCAAGAATAGACGACACCTTGGACACTCTATCTGGAGCCCAATGGTTTTCCACACTCGAACTAAAGAGTGGTTATTGGCAAGTGGGGATGGAATCGACAGACCGAGAGAAGACCGCGTTTTCTATAGGCTCTGGACTTTGGCAATTCACAGTAATGCCTTTCGGATTGTGTAATGCCCCCGCGACGTTTGAGAGACTTATGGAAGCAGTTCTAAGGGGACTAACGTGGCAGACATGTCTGGTATATTTGGATGATGTAATTGTCGTAGGAAAAACTTTTGAAGAACACCTAAAGAACCTGAGAGAGGTGTTTGGACGATTACGAGAGGCCAATTTAAAACTAAGTCCCAAGAAATGCTTTATGTTCCAAAAAGAAGTTAAATATTCGGGGCACATCGTATCTCGTGATGGTGTTACAGCTGACCCAGAGAAGATTATAGCGATTCAAGAGTGGCCGATTCCTGAGAACAAGCACGAGATTCGAAGTTTCCTCGGTTTGTGCACCTATTATAGACGATTCGTGAAAGGATTTGCCAACATTGCCAAACCATTAATAAAGTTGACAGAAGAGGGCAATGAGTACGAATGGAGTGAAGACTGTCAAAGAGCTTTCGAACATCTCCGGCAAGCTCTTACTAGCGCACCTATCCTTGGCTACCCCAGAAATGAAGGAAAGTTTGTGCTAGATACCGATGCCAGTAACACCGCCATTGGAGCTGTTCTCTCTCAATTGCAAGACGGACAGGAAAGAGTCATTGCCTATTTCAGCAAAGTACTGTCGAAACCCGAGAGGAATTATTGTGTGACTAGGCGAGAGCTCCTGGGTGTGGTAAAGGCATGCGAACATTTCCATAAGTACCTTTACGGCCGCAAGTTCCTGATAAGGACAGATCATGCAGCGCTAAAGTGGCTCTTGCAGTTCCGAAACCCAGAAGGACAGGTGGCAAGATGGTTAGAACGTCTTCAGGAATATGACTACGACATTGAACACAGGGCTGGAAAAGTTCACAATAATGCAGACGCTTTGTCAAGAAGACCGTGCCAGGACAACTGCACACATTGTTCTAAAATAGAAGACAAGATTGGCCATCTGCGACGAACAACTGTAGAGAGTGAGGAATGGAAGCCAAGCGAAATCAAAACGGCCCAAGAAAACGACCCAAGTTTAAAAACTGTTCTGAATTGGATACACCACGGACAAAGACCAGACTGGCAAGACATTAGTGCCACAAGTCCTGAAGTAAAGAGTTATTGGGGCCAATGGAATAGCCTGACTCTGAAAGACAACCTGTTGTATAGGACCCTTGAAAGTGAAGATGGCATCGAATCGACGCTGCAATTAGTAGTACCTAGAAGCAAAGTGTCGGAAGTATTGCGAAAATTGCATGACGGCGCTTCCGGAGGACACTTTAGTATTACGAAAACGTTGCAAAGGGTACGTGAGCGATTCTATTGGGTCAACCGTAAAGAAGATGTCCGGCGATGGTGTCAAAAATGCGAGTTATG